TCAATACCCCAATATTTTGACCATGCTTTACGTTTATTTTTTATTTTTATTATTATTTGTTTGTATTGAAAATAGACAATTATGAAGCACAATATAAAAGAGAAAGAGAGAAATGGTTGGGTTGAAGTAGAAAAACAAAACTGGCCCTGGAATGAGTATTTTAAATTATAGATGTTTCAAGACCAGTTGTCTGATTTATAGCCTGCTTTTCAACATCACATTTGTTCAGCATTTTTATCGTTACAAAAGCATCAAAATCTCAACAGACATGGAAACTACTGGCTATAAAATCAAATTTGTCCTGTAATATGTGTGTACTTGATACTGGGAATTGTTTGCATAATGACACTCACTGCATGACTCTTGTGGAAAACTAAAAAGTGCCATTGACATCATTCTAAAACATACATCACTTTTTATGGGTACAGTTAAGACTATCTTCATCCAATCATTACAAATTTGGAATGTAATTTCTTTGGGATTTGATATTGTATGCTGATATGATTATGTCAAATATATCCCATGTGTATGAACATCTTCAGTAGAACGTAATTAATTATGCACATATCTAATTCACATATATCCCTTGTGTATGATCATATTCAGTGGGACCTAATTAATTATTTACATATCTAATTTACATATATCTCATGTGATTTGAATCTCTTCAGTGGGACCCCATTGTGACCTTATTGATATGCTACCAAGCTGTTGCTTTTTAACAATACCGACATGTTCTCTTAATCTAAGCCTAAGTACTCTTTTATATGCATTAACCTGTGTAACAACTATTAGTCTCACTTCAGATGAAAACAACCCACAGAAGGGATGTAGCCAGTGTAAGCTAGCTTTATACAATACTTGGCAGAACACGTGGAGAAATAATGGGCATGAAAATACTTCCTGTTTTAACCATTTTATACCGGTATATAAAATAAAATAAAAATAAAAATGAAATTAATACATGGTACTGAGTGTTAACATTCAAAATGATCCAGTGTTTTGTTAATATCTCTTTAACACTAATGAGTCTTCTTTGATGCCTTTGCAATTTTATCATTTTATTCTTCTATTAATTCACCTTTATTAGCCTTTATTCTGAATCAAACGTTAAAACAGGACAAACTACATGTAAGGTCATAGCATCGTAGTAATGTTGAAACATTATGTGGAATTCGACAAATGTGAAAGTATACATCTAATAACATGTGTACATTTGATGATGGTCAATTTTGATGAAGTGATGTTATTGATCCCAGTTCAAACAAAGTCTGAAAACAGGGACTTATGGATTGTGTCTGTCCATCCATATCCAGTTATATCGTACGCATGCTTTCATGGATTCAGTTCAAACTTCACACATACATCTTGCATCTTGAGATACATATCATCAGTATGCACATTCATGCATTTCACGATCTGATACAAGATGGCCAATGACAGCCTTTTTATGCTTAAAATCCATCAAAATTAAACATTTCTGCAATTGGGGATCTGTATGTCATGGATGGATTTTGTTCAAACTTGATATATACATTGAACATAAGGAGACCTTGTAATGCATGTAATTTTTTTTTCCAGATGTGATTAAAAACGACTGACTTGTTTTTAAACAAATGCTGTTCAGAAGTCATATCTCTGACATGCCTATGCCAATCTCATTCAAACTGTATTGGTACATTATGTATCATACCGCACATATGCACTTTTATTTGTTTAAGGATCACTCATCAGATTTCAAGATGGCCGAATAGCGGCCATTTTAATGTTTAAAAATGATCAATTGATCATGGATCTTGGTTATACATGGACAGCTATTGTCCATCTTTGTACATCGTGCCTGGACTGATCCACTTAGAATTACTTGTACATCAGACATTATGTTGGACAATCGTCCATGCATTTTTGTAATTATCAATTTGAAATGGCTGACTGGCGACCGCCTTGTTTAATCAACTGCAGTTCCACAAAGCCATATCTGTAGATCATAATGAAAATTACAGATCAGACAACTGGTCTTAAAACATCTATAATGGTTTTTTAGCTCCGCTGTCGACTTTGTCGAGCGGAGCTTATCATATGAGTGATTGTCCGTAGTCGTCCGTCGTCGTCGTCCGTGTCAATGTTTTACTTTTTCGACTTCTTCTTGAAAACTACAAGCCTAAATGCTTTGATACTTGGTGTATATGTACCTTGGGTAGACCTCTCTTAGGTTTGTTCATTTCATGTTGATATCTTTAATTCTCTAATTTTGATGAATATTTTTGTCATTTTTGGTAAAAACTGATATTTTCGACTTCTTGTTAAAAACCGCAAGTGCAATTGCTTTGATATTACATCTATAGGTACTACATGTGGACCTCTCTCAGATTTGTTAATTTTGTAATGATATCTTTAATTCTTTAATTTTGGTGAATATTTTTGTCATTTTTGGTAAAAACTGATATTTTCGACTTCTTGTTAAAAACCGCAAGTCCAATTGCTTTGATACTACATATATAGGTACTACATGTGGACCTCTCTCAGATTTGTTCATTTCGTGATGATATCTTTAATTCTCTAATTTTGGTGAATATTTTTGTCATTTTTTGGTGAAAAGTGATATTTTCGACTTCTTGTTAAAAACCGCAAGTCCAATTGCTTTGATACTACATATATAGGTACTACATGTGGACCTCTCTCAGATTTGTTTATTTCGTGATGATATCTTCAATTCTCTAATTTTGGTGAATATTTTTGTCATTTTTGGTAAAAAGTG